GATTTACCATTGACGTTTTTTTATACCCTCTTTGGCAATATTTTCAATTTCTTTATTTTATTTTTCATTCTTCTAGCAGCAGTTGAGAAGCTTGAATTGAAAACTTTAATACCTACTCCTGCAGCTTGAAGAACCACAGATGTAACTTTCTGCAGAATAGGAGAGATATTATTAACAGTTAACATTAAATCAAAATTTCCTAAATATATTTCAACATTTCCCTAATATATCTTTAGGAATATTTACTTGATTCCCTGTACTCATTGATTTTTGTTTCTTTTATTCACTTGCGTGATTCAAAATCAGAATCAGAAAAATTTTCCAAACTTAGTTCAGTGTTAATACTGACTCCTCCTTGTTTTTCATCTTCTAAATAGCATTGTTTAGTTTTACTTAAGGACACTTTTAAAATGCAATTAAATATAATTCTATACTTCTTTATTTTCAATGATTTTACCTATCTAAAAATTACCTTATTAGGTTAAAATAAAATTAAAAAATTTGTTAAATCAATATCCTAATGATTCTTCCTTTATAATTTGAGGGTAAATTAATCCAATAGTACATCCAACGACCACAGGAAACAGCACATAATTGAGATAAAACAGGAAACAACAAAACTATTTTTTATAAAACCTTGAATTTCAAAAATTAAGAAAAAGGTAAATTACATCATTCAGACAGCACAAATAAAAGCAGATTACTTTCTAAGTATATCTAAAGGACCCAAATAATAATTTTGTGGGCAATCTTGATCAACTAAGATATCAAGGTCTTTGAATTTGATTTTATCAGACCTTAGTATGTCCAGTGGATCCATTCGGAACTCCGTCTCGACGGATTTTTCTCAGTTTTTCGGAGTTTCGGAGTTCAAGACAAATCGAGAAACTTCGACAAAACTTTGACGAAGTTTTTAGAAAATATCAATTTTTTATTCGTAAAATAATTGAATTCTTATTTTATTTCTACGTGGTTTTTACAATTGTAAATTGTAATTTTAAAAATTGTTTCAAATGTAAGTGTTCTCTTCGTTTAATAACAACACTAATATACATCGCAAAGCAATTGGTAATGCACAGTGGGCCAGGTGATGATGGTGAAAAAAACCTCAAAAAAAGTTTATTCTATCAAAACCATATATCAAAACATGCTCATATTTTTCCATTGTACTATTTCAAAAACTCTTTTGTGTATATTAGTATCTTTTTAGTATTAGTATTTTTTTAAATCCACAAAAATCAATTGCGGTATAATAAAATGTAATGCATAATAAAAAGCAAGAATTTTTTAATTTTTAAGCAAAGATATAATAAACAGTAACTTTTAAAATATTATGCGAATGTGATATTAGTTTATATATTTTAACTACTCAATAGTTTACCTTTACAAAAAAAAAGTTTAGTCAAGATCATTATTTATAATATAAACAAAGACTGGTCGTGAAATAACGAGGTAAGTTTTTAACATATAAAACATATAAAACTTTCATTTTATACAAGTAGTGTCGTATTTTGTATGATCAAAATAATTTTGTCCACCATAAGTCTAAAATCCGGCCCACTGAGCATTGTGGCAAAACTGTGCAATAAAATGTTATCAGTGAAAATAAATAATAATAATAATTAATGTTTAATTATACTTACCTATCAGAATAAATAACTTAATAACTTAAAATGTGATAACTTTTCACAATTAAAATAAAATTAAAAACAAATATGGGAGGTCATTATCAAATTGATAATTTTTCTTTCATAGAAAAAAATTGTTTTGGAAGCGTGGAAGTACTTTAATAAAGTTGTGGTAAATGATAAGAAGTATGGAGATTGCAAAAAATGTCATAAAAGAATCGCTTGTCCAGGAAGCAGCACAAACGGCCTTATTGGACACGTCAAAAGTTGCGAGAAAATAGATTTGAAACCATTCAGTTCCAGACCAGTTTTGACTAAAATGTCATTAAACGATCTTCTTGCCAAGTTGACAGCTCTTGATGGGTATTCAATTAGGTCCATAACTCAATCTGAAACACTAAGAATGCTTTTTGAAAATTACGGGCATAGTTTGCCTAAGTCAGCGTCCACAATTTCAGAAAAAATTAAGATGTTTCATGCTGAAGCCAAATACTTAATGATCGCTGAATTGGCTGCATTTAAAGCAAAAGAAGAAAAATTTGGACTAACAGGTGACGAATGGTGTAGCAATAGAGGTAGAAGATACTACAATTTAAATGTTCATCACGACAGAACGTATTGTTTAGGAATGATGAGATTGCCATCTCCTAGTTCTGCTGAAACATTAAACATTTTGATAATGGAAAAATTAAAAGAATTTGGTATAGATAGTGAAGATATTGCAGGTAAAACTACGGATGGCTGTAGTTGGATGGTGAAATTGGGTACCATATTTAAGTTTCCACATCAGATCTGCCAGAATCATTCAATTCAATTGAGTGTTTGTGATTTGATATACGCTAAAAAAGATTGTCGCAAAATTGTGAACAAAGAAACTGAATCGATTATTGAAACAGAAACAGAAACTGATGGAGAGTCTGAAGGAGAGTTTCTTATTGAATATTCGGAGAATGAGATTGAGTATGAAGAAAATATCGAAAAAAATCTACAGAAACTTCGAATACTAATTAAGTTTTTGAAATATTCATCGTTTCAATATGAAGTTCTTAAAAGAAAAATACACAAAATATACGGATCTTCGCATGACAAAGGACTGTTGTTCGACAACCGAACAAGATGGAACAGTGTTTTTAAGATGATTAAAAGATTTCTGGATTGCTTAGAAGCTGTAAAAAAAAACACTCGAAGAGCTAAACTGCTTAAACATGTTAGCTGAAATTGACTTGGATTTCTTAAAATTGCTGTCTGACTTATTGGAAGTCGTTGCTGACGCTGCAGTTCGCTTGGAAAAACCAAATACAACAATTTTGGAGTGTGACATTATTATGGAAACGTTAGTAAGGAAATTGAAGGTTGCAGAAACTGACATCAGTTCTAATTTTGCAGAGACCTTAATCTCCAGATATGAAGATCGTAAAAACGTTATGTTGGTATCATTGAGTCGTTATTTGCACAATCCCGATTTTTTTAAAAATAAAAACCACACATTTTTTTACGCTTCCAAAAAAGATATTCAAATTTATGCTTCAAAATTATTTGATCAACTATTTGCAACAAAAGAAAATAGTCTCCAATCAAAATCAGATGATCACGCTAAAAACAAACAAGAAGAACCATCACAATCGACATCTTTTTTCTCCAAAATTCAAGAAGTTCTAACTCAAAATCAATCAGCAGCTAAAAAACCAAAAAAAGTCAAGACCTTCACCGATCAGTTGAAAGAATATGAAGTAACTGGTGTGAAATCAGAAATGTTCATGTTTAAATATAGTGTAGCTATATTTAAACTATACTTTTACTTACAAGTAACAGCTCTTCTTTTACGACTTGTTTTTGGATTTCCAGTTCCAAGACTAATTGTGGTAGTAGTATAAGGATTAAATTGTAGAGCAGGATAACAATTGTCTAAATTTATTTCATCAGTAGGGCTGTTCAAACGACAGATATAAACAACCACAAACCTAAGCGACAAAACAAATCTATAAAAACCAAATATTAAACTTTAACTAAAAAAACAAATTTTGTCTAAACTTTTTTCTTCCCCCTTAAACAAATTCACCAGCAGAAACTAATCTTCATTTTTAAATAAATAACTTGTGTATGAACATCGAGCACTTATTTTGTAGAACACATTTATAATTATATATATATATATATATATATATATATATATATATATATATATATATATATATATATATATATATATATATATATATATATATATATATACATTTATATATATATATACATTTATATATATATATATATATATATATATATACATTTATATATATATATATATATATAAATATATATATATATATATATATATATATATATATATATATATACATATATATACATATATATATATATATATATATATGTATATATGTATATATGTATATATGTATATATATATATATATATATATATATATACATATATATATTATATATATATATATATGTATATATGTATATATGTATATATGTATATATATATATATATATATATATATATATATATATATATATATATATATATATATATATATATATATATATATATATATGTATATATATATATATATATATATATATATACATATATATATATATATATATATATATATATATATATATATATATATATATATATATATATATATATATATATATATATATATATATATATATATATATATATATATATATATATATATATATATATATATATACACACTGCCCAGCAAAAGTTTCCGGTCACTCTGTTTTTTGTAAAGAAATATATAAAAAACAAGTTAACTAACTACAATTAACTAAATATTATTACAAATAATTACAAAATAATCAACATCTTCAAAGCTATGATAAGAATAAACAAGTTTATGCAATACAACACAATCAAAAGTTTTTTTTTTTTTTTTCATCAAAAAATCTACCCTTTGCTTTCTTTACTGAACAAACAAGTTTTGGCATACGTTTGATTAAATTATTCAAATAAATTGGGAAAAAAAATATTCCACACTTATTGCAAAATTGACCACAAATGAGTTGTTGATGTAGGACACCCTTTTCTTACCTCACGATCCAGTTTTTCCCAGAGTAACTCTATTGGGTTGCGATCAGGGCATTCTGGGGGCCATGTCATAACTTTGAGTTCCCTATCAGCTTTTTTTTTTTTTTGCAAATATTTTGTAATGTATTTAGACACGTGGTTTGGGTTATCCTGTTGTATGGTGATCCCATGGCCTATTAGACGCTTTCCACAAGGCACGGCATGTCTACATAATATCTTATTAAATTCGTTCTAATCGAGAATTCCACAATACATTTTGCCAGTCTATATCTGTCCACAATACATTTTGCCAGTCTATATCTGTCTAACTTGAATGTGTTGAGTCCATTGAAGTCTTTTTTTCCATTTAAGCCAACAGTTTTCAAGCCATGTCTTACATTTCTTTCTGAAATAGTTTTATTATGAGCAGCATTGAAGTTAGATGTTATTTCTTGGGCTGTTAATCGTCTATTTCGTTTACATAAGACTATAATTGATTTGTCTTCAGCCTTTGATGTTTTGCAGTGACATCCAGTTCTTTTCCTATCTTTATTTGTACCAGTACATTTAAACCGACGAATAGTATCACTCACTGTTGATTGTGGTATTTTCAACAAATTTTGAATATATCTAGTAGAATGACCATCATTTGCCAGAGCAACAACTGAAGAACGTGTTTCTAGTGATAAGCTACATTTCTTTAACATTTTATTATTTTCTGAAATTTTAATCTAAAAATAATAAAAATGCACATTTATAAACTGGAAATTAAAAAATAATATCAAACTTAATTCAGCTATATAAAGTATTTACTAAATTTATTTATTAATCCAATATATTATATTAAATTCAACAAAATTATGCTTTGATGACAAAAGAACAGTTAAATTTTATTTGCAAATTTTTTACTAAGTATGTTCAAGCATATTTATAATATGAATATGAAAAAAACATAGATTTTGCAATACAATATTAAAAACACATTAGCACATCCTAATTTAGTTGTTTTCTGGCTTATAAACAATTTTAAAATTCAACATTAATTATTACAAGTTTATTTAACACATTAGCATATCTTAATCGAATTATTTTGACTTATAAACAGTTTTAAAATTTAATATCAGTTATTATAGGTAAAAAACTATAAGTACTTTAAGTGACCTGAAACTTTTGCCGAGCAGTGTATATACACACAAACAAAGGATGTTAACAAGTCTGATGACACAGCATATACCACAAAGTTCCTAATTTGTTAAAATTTATCAAATTGCCAAAAAATAAAAAATAAAAATGTATATAGGGCTTTGTTTTAAAATGTTATGTCATAAACGTTATGACAACATTTTACATAACGTTGTTATGAAAATATTTTATAACATTGTTGTTAAACTCTTAAATCTCTTTTAGAAGCCTTTTTAATAAAAAGATTAAAAAAGGTTTATCTATGTCAGACAAAATATTTTGATAAAAAAAGAAGAAACAAATTAAGTTAACTTTAATTTTTCTTAAAACAGTTTTCTTTAAAGAAAATTTTTTTTCTTCTGTGTAAATAATGCACAGTCATTAGTTGTATGTTCAATCCATTTAAAACTTAAAAAAAAACTTGATTTTCTAATAGCTATTCATGGTTTAGATTTTTCAGCAGGATTATACTGTTATTAATTTTAAATTCTCTTTTTAAGCAATTTAAATATCTTGTCTTTTTTATACTTTAAAAATAAGATATATATTTTTAATATTTATAATACCAACCCTCGGAATTAGAAAAAATAAGATATATATTTTTAATAATTATAAATACAAAATAAATTTGTTATTTTTAAAGTACAAAAAAAAAAACTCTCTCTCTAACATGTTATTTGTAAACAATCATTTTTTAAAAATATTAATTTAAAAGCTTAAATTAAATCAAAGTAAGTAAACTCATTCATTCAAACTGCAAATATTTTGTCTCATTTACCTTACTTCAGATGTGATATAAATATAAAGAAATTTGATACATGACTGCTTAGAATAAAAGTTGAAAATTAATCATTTTTACAAATTGATATTTACAAATTACGTATCTAAAAAAATTCTTATTTTTTTACTTTTGCAAAAGCTTTGTATTAATTGACTTAGGAAAGTGCGGGTGCAAGTCAAGCACTAGTCAAGCACCAGTAAACACAAAGAAAGAATAGGTACAACAAGAGCTGAAAATCAGGGGTGAGTGGGGTAAAAACGTTAGGAAAATCTTTTACTATGAAATTAGAAAAAACAATTCTGAAATTCCATTTCTCATAGATGGACTTTATTAACTCTGCCAAACATTAATTCTACTAAGAACATTTACACTAATACAGCTCTTGAATCTAATAACCATACTCTTTCTGTCATCTCAAAGAAAAAAGGTTAACCCATTGTTAGACATCACAAATCACTCATACTTTGGTTACCTGTTACTAAATTATTTCACACTTACACTATCCCACTATTTAGAGTTATTTTTTTTCAGGTATTTAAAAAGTATTAAAGTGAATCTTGTTTCTATGTCTGCTCAAAGATAACATCTATGGTTCTAATTTTTAAAAAACTCTTGAAACCGTTTTAATCCCTCTATTTAATTTTTTTAATTACTATTGCCATACTATTATAATTATTAATTACTATTTCAATCAGTTTTATTATTATAATCAAGATCTTTGAGTCTTGAATTAACAAACTTTTAATATATTATCTTGAATTTAACAACTTATGTCCTTGATGGACAACACTCTGTTTTGTTCCCAGTAACATCTGGGGTACAAAAAAGTTACATCCTTGATAATTTATCGTTTCTCATTTATATAACTGACCTTCTTGATAATCTCTTAAGTTTATACCTCTAAAGTCACTCTATTTACTGATAACAACTATATACTCAAGTCTTGAAATTTTTTTTGTTTTTGTAGACAACTTTAAATCTTTTCTATGACAGCTTGGGACTTAAAGTAACTAGTGAATTTTTATTCCACCCCCTCCCCCCAAAAAAAAAACAATAAAAAAAGTTGTTTACTGCTAACAACTATTGAAATACTATTGATATTCCTATATTGATGAATGCTAACAATCTTGCTGAGTTCTCTAGTTTATATCTTTGTAGATAATCTTTCACTACTGACCTCTCATGAAAACCAGATCCATTAAATCTGCTAACTTTAGTTTTCTTGATTCTCCACCATAAATCTCTTACTTTCCAGTTATCTTTGTATAGAATATTGTTATTATGTTTGGGCTAGTATTTTTATTTAGGCAAATTTTCTTATAGACAAGGTCCAAATAAACATTGTTGTTGAATCTGCTCTAGGTGCTAAGCTTGAGCATTGATGTTGCATCTACCAAAAGCTGCTCAAGCTCTCATCACTTGTTCTAACTCGTCATTAAGTTACATGCAGGCCTTGTTAAGAAACGCTTGAATTTTATGTACACTTTTTGAATTTTACGTAGGTATTCACGATTTCACATACGTGTTTTGCAATTTACCTTATGCTAAAACTTTTTTCAATTAGTTTATTTAAACGTTTTTTATTTTTTTATTAGAACAGATTAGGTGGAAAACATTAAACTGTATTTAATTGTTGAAAAAAACAACTGTGGAATATTTTTTTTATTAGATAAAAAAAGATAGATAAACTTTTTTCTATTTTTCGTTTTTTTAAAAAAAAATACCATTTTATTTTATTAAATCTAAATTAAATTTATTGTTAAAAATAATAAAATATAAATTTATTGTGTTAAATTTATTAAAATTCTTTTAAAAATTTGAAAACGCTTTACATTGTTTATTTAGTTTATTACTTTATCATTACTTTAGTTTTCCAATTTGTTTCTGTTAAAATTTTCAAATTATGTTAAAGTAAAAAAAATAAATAATAAATTTAATTTACTTTAAAATGTTCGTGTTATATATAACTTTATTTTACATTAATTGTTGAAATTGCTTATTAACAAAAGTTTTTTCTTTATCATTAATTTTTTGAACTGATTATAGACTGAACGACAAATAAAAATGATCAACTAGTTTATGAGTAGTATGCGAAGATTTTGCATACTTTTGCATAACAAAGTAGAAAAATGGTAATCTCTTCGTTTAATTACAAATTTTATTTTGTCAAAAGCCAGTTGAAATAAAATGTTTTAGGTTGCGCGAACATTTTTTAGAAAGGGGAAAACCCAATCTAATTGTATAGTTGTGTAAACCGTTTAAAAAACTATAGTAAGTATGTTTAAATCCCTTTAAGAAATTCAACTATAAACAAGCATTCCCTCATTAAAAAAAAATATATCAGGGTGGCCACTAAAATTTGAAAATGAAATTCCATGACCTTTCTTTAACTTTTCCATGACTTTTCCATGACCAAATAAAATTCCATGACATTTCCATGATTTCCATGACCGGTAGCCACTCTGAATAACCATAAAATAAATGTTTTAGAGAAAGAAAAAAAAAGTTTTAAGTATAAGATTTTAAAATAAGGAAATAGCTTTTTTTTTTAAACAAAATTTAAATTTTATTTATCACCTTTTTTTAAACAGTATTGTTTAATTTAAAGATATTCATAAACATAAAGACTTACAACTTTTTAAATTTTGGTTTTAAATTTAATTACGATGAGGTAATTTAAACTTTTAACAATGTAAATATCTTTATTGAGTAAAGTTACATTTATTCGCGTTACGCTTTTCCTTTATGCAACAAAATCTCATAACAAGGCCTGTACATGCTTTTATTGTAACTTTCATGCTTAAAAAATATTAATACTTTTTCCAACTCACACAATTTCAAGTCAAGTCAACTGTCATTTAATCGTTTTCTGTCAAAACATTTTTTTTCTGTCAAAATCAAAGTCTTCTGTCAACTTCTTGTTCTTTAGCTTTTTTCTGTTAACAACTTAATTAGTGGTTGCTTGCTGCCATGTTGTGAATTTGTTAAAAAACATTTATACTGCTTCCTTGATTATACTGCTTCAAGTAAGTTGCTCAACTTTTGTTACTTAACTTTTGTTTTGTACAAAGGTATTTTGATATTTATATAAAAATTTGTATTTTAATATACATTACTGTATCATGTATCATGCTCTGTAGAATCTTACAAGATGTCAATAATACCAATAACTTTTTATATATTGTTATAATTTTAAAAGCTCTAAAACTGCAATTAAAAAAATAACTGCAATTAAAAAAGCAATAAATATTAGGAGAAAAAAATAAAAATAAAAAACATACTCAAAGACCACATCCTCTATAAAAGGTACATATTTAACTTTAAAGGAACCCATAGATACACTTGAAAAAATAGTAGAAGGAGCTAAAAAATAATTTTATGTTAAAAAAAATCAAGTTTAAGTTTAAATAAAAAGAACTTTTCATTAAAGGAAACAACATACCTTCACAGCTATTATTATTTTTCCCTAACTCCCACTCATTGTGACATGAACATTTAAAGCTTCCCATAGAATTGGTGCAAATGCCTTCATTCCAGCTACAATTATTGTTTTTAATACATTCACTAACATCTAAAAAAAAGATTTTTCTGTGCAACTCATAAACCTTTAACACCTTAAAACCCTTTAACAACCTTGCACACAACAAAACAAAACTATCTTCAAATAGCTATTGTGGTGTATACCTAATAAAATGCTTAAACAAAAATACATTGGCATAATAAAAATAGCAAAAAAACAAAACAAAACAAAACCAGAAAAATGTATTAAAAGAAAAATATGATTAACTTGCAATTGGGTATCAAAAAAACAAATGTCTATGCAATATAAAATGGGAGCAAGTAAAAATATTCAAAACAAAACTCAAAAAAGAAAAGGTTGAGAATCAATTGAAATTTGGTATAACAAACACGGACCTAACAACAGAAGTATTTAGGTCCCTGTTAGTTATACTAAAAAGTATTTACTTTAGACAATGGTCAGTATGTAAAAATGCAAATGGGTACCATACTTTTTATACTTGTGTAACCAAAAAAAAACCCATTCAAAGTGAACTTTAAAAAAGCTATTAAAAAGTGGCATTACTGTTTGTAATTAAATGTAATTAATTGTTTGTATATATATAGACTTTCATTTTAGGTTATGAAAAGATATGAACTACCATGACTACCAAAAAACAGCTAATATGTTGGAACTTGTCTAATATTTATGGGGGAGGGGATCATTTTTTGACAGTCACTTTTACTCTTGGTCTATTATAAGTAACTTTTTTTAAAATCTATTATAATTATTTTTTTAAATTTTTTATAAGGTCTAATATAAGTAACTTTTTTGACCAAAACTTTTCTGTGACAAGTGGTGACTTTTAGACTTTAATCTGTTGAAATCCAAAGAAAGAAAGAAGTGTATATATATATATATATATATATATATATATATATATATATATATATATATACATATATCTGTGTATATATATTTATATATATATATATATATATATATATATATATATATATATATATATATACATATATATATATATATATATATATATATATATATATATATATATATGTATAATATATATGTATATATATATATATATATATATATATATATATATTATATATATATATATATATATATATATATATCTGTGTATGTGTGTCTGTGTGTGTGTATGTGTGTGTACTTCATACTTAGTAAGTACCAGTACCAGAATTAATTGCTGAATTTGCCAGCAGATGAGCTGTTATTGTTAATTTTCTTGTTAAATTACATTATTATTCCTAATTGTTCTTTTCACAACTTTTTACTTTCAGTTTATTTATAACACACTTTCCTATTAAAATGAAGTTGAACTAAAGATGACCACTTCAGCTGCTCTAAATGCTATGAATTTTATAGCATGGATAAATAACTGTTAATCAGAATGAGTATTATCATGGAGATAATCAGGATTTCAATAAACACTCTAAACTTACTTTCACTGGTCTCAAAACAGTTGTGGTTCTTGCTACAATAAACTAGAGTAAAAGTGACTTTCATAAAATGATCCTAAAATTGTGGATAACTATTGCAAACATTGTGGATAACTATTGCAAACATTGTGGATAACTATTGCAAACATTGTCACAAAATTTTTTAAAACTTATAAAGATGCTGTTTATGCATTTAATAACACTTTACCATAATTAAAATTACTAAAAATTGAATTAAATTTTTTTTTTGAATCAACATATGATGGGTTTTTAGAATTCTTAATTTTTTAAATTAATTTTCTTTTTTATAGAAAGTAATTTAAAAATTAAAGGACAATTTCTTTATTATAGAAAATTTACATTTAAAACAGCTGATTTTTCATCTCAAAATAAAATCCAAGGAAACAGCTTATTCTTATTTTAAACACAATATAAAACGTTCAACTATTATTGTTTATAAATACTTTATTTATTTAAACCAAAAATTTTAAGCAACCATTAAAATATAAAGCTCCAATTCAAAACAATAAACAAAAAATGATTAAAAAAAAAGCCTTACCAAAACATTTGAAAAGAGTTGTGTTTATCAGAGAACCATTTGCATCATTACATAAATTTGTATAAATCCCATTTGAATATGTGTAGACACATGTGTTGTTACATTTATCTAAAATTAAATTACAATCAAATTATAATTTTAAATTTTGATTACTATTTTTGTTTGTTAACTTTTTTTTGTATACTTTTAAACTTTTTTTATTTCAACAAAATTTGAAAATTTGAAAATTGAAAATTTGCTGTTTTAAATTGAGCTTATAAAACTTATATTTATAAAAATAATATAAGTATGTAAATATAATAACTATTTAAATATAACTTAAATATATAATTTCCTATTTAACTGGTTGAATGTGTGAGTTAACTCCCAGCATCTAGAACCTTCAAGGAACCACCAAGGTACCAAGAAAATAGTCTGAGCAAATGTTTGATGTAGAATGTTCTGATCAAACATTTGCTCAGAAAATTTAAAAATGTTAAATATCACTCTGCCTAAGTTTTGAAGAAACACCTCAATTAACTAAAATTGATATTGCATTAAGCTTTTGTTAAATATCTTCACCACTAAAACTAAAGGGAGCATAGTCATAAAAAACTTGCAATGCCTTCCAAACAGCACAAACTTTAAGACAAACTAGATTAATCACAGCATTGTCCTTATCACATTCCTTATTATCAGCATTATTTTCATTTTGTTACATTTTTTATTTTTTCTATCAACTGTTCATCTGACAGTACAGGTGCTGAGCAATTAAGTTTTTATCTTCAAAAAAGGCAACTTTAACTGACACCTGGATTGTAAATTATGAAAAAACTTTTATACCTGAATTTAAAGCTCTTTAAAGGGGTCGTTGTCTTTATCAAAATGGACAAATTTCTGCTGATTATCTGAAATTCCTGTTTTTGCAAAACAATTAACGATGGTGGAGGTTTTCACTTTTTACTATGCAAGATTAAACATTTTAATTGCATCTAAAATTGAAAAAACAGGAAGATCTTTTTTTTTATTGATAGCTACAACCAACCCTTTGCAATGCTAATGATCTGTAATAAATTTGTAGTTAATGTGGTATTTGGCAATAAAAAAAAGAAGGTCAATAGATTTTAGATAATCAATCAAAGGATGTCCTGGGCTAATATATACGTATTGGTGTATGTATGTATGTATATATATATATATATATATATATATATATATATATATATATATATATATATATATATATATATATATATATATATATATATATATATATATATATATATATGTATATATATATATATATATATATATATATATATATATATATATATATATATATATATATATATATATATATATATATATATATATATTATGTTAATTCACATCCCCAAGGCTACTTTAGTTGTGGTTACAACCCTCTTTCAACTTTATAACTCCGAAACACAAACCTTAACAAAACAAGGCCGCTGCGCCTTGAAACGAGTTGAGTGCGGTACTACTAGAGATGTGGTGAGTATCAAACTTCTCACTTTGTGAGAAGTTTGATACCCACCACATGCATTAGTAGTGTTTTGGTAGAGCGCAAGCGCTCTACCACAACACCAACAACGCATATATGCTACTTTCTTTTCTTTTGTAAACTTTGTATCCACTCTTGTAACAGTATGCTATCCATGCAGCTTTTGTTTTTTACATTATACCTATTTTTCTAATAATCAAGCTGACTATATTATATTCCTTTGATCTTTTCAGTAAAAACTCTGGCTTTTGTTTATAGAACTGATGATGATTTGGTTATGTTTTTACTCCTTACATTATACGATTATGCTTCTACTCATACATTTTGACTATTAGCATTTATATTAATATTCCAACGCGCGTTAGTAAAACTTACAAATATTGTTTAAATTGCAATTCAAGGTCTTTATCATGGTTTAAATAAATTTCTTTAAAATTTAATAGGAAACTTGATTGCATAACTTGCTTGAGGGCAAAAAGTTGAAACCTAATGAAAGAACTTTTACTAAGATTTTGTTTTTATATTTCTTTAAAGATTTATTGGAAAATTAATTTTGTTTTTATATTTCTTTGAAGAGGTATTGAGGTAAGATTGAAGATTTGAAGTATTGAGGTAAGATTGAAGATTTGAAGAAGAATATTGGTCTTAGAGATGAATAAAATTGACTTGGAACTAAAAGAGAGACCTCTATAAGTTATTAGGGGTTAGAGTAATCAAGTGAGTATTAGTGAAGGTTAATAGGGAACTCAAAAGTACTTCGAATTACAGGAATTTCCAATTATTGGGGAATCGAGATATCAAGAGTTTACTTTGGAAAATTTGTGCTCAAATTGTTTAAATATTGAAGCAAATTTATTACATTACAAAACCTCAAAAAGAAAATTTGAAACATGCAAGAATGTTAAAAAAAATGTAATCTAAACCAATGTTGGTAAGTTGAAAAAATGATGTTGCAAAATGAAAATTTACAAGTTTAAAATGAAAAAAATGTTTTAAAAACAAAATTGATGATAAAAACTTGATAATTAACATTAAATTTAATATGCTATTAGTGAGCTTGAAACGGAAACCATTATCAACTAACCAGCCAAAATATGAGCCAAAATTTGTACGCAAATTATTTTAGGTAATAAATTTATTTTTCCAATAAAAAAAAATAATATAAATGTAATCTAGTAAATCTCATAATATAACAACTTAAAAAATTTATTCATGTAAAGTTGAATTTGTTACATTTTAAACCAAGTTCAAAATGTTAAAAACAAATCAATTGTTTGAAATTGAGTTAAAATTATAGTTTGTTAATGAATTGGGTTAAACTTTTTAAAATAATAAAAATTTTTAGTGTCAATTATTAATGTAGCTTCTGTAAAAAAATTACATTTTTTCTTAATTACTATTTTTTATTATTAAAACAGAAGTATTTTTTAAAATTTAATTTATGAGAATTTAATTATAATAAGAACAAATATGAAAAAATTAAACAATTTATTTTTTTAAAGTTTTGTAACTTTGAGTTTTATTTATAAAAATAATGATTTTATTAAAAAAATGTAAAATGACTCACCAACACAGCTGGCATTATCCTGACCCAGTCTCCATTCATTTTTACATGAACAAAAATAACTGCCATTTGTGTTAATGCATATTCCATTGCTCCATGTACATGGCGGTGACATACTGTTACACTCGTTAATGTCTTAACAAAAAAAAAAAAAATTGTTGAGATCAGACTAAACTTAGAGAACAAAGATTATATTCACATTTGCACATTTTACATATTTGCTCTAAATTTAAATAATATATTTTTTAACAATAAGACAAAACTACATTAAAACAAAAACCCAGGCTTTATATATATATATATATATATATATATATATATATATATATATATATATATATATATATATATATATATATATATATATATATATATATATATATATATATATATATATATATATATATATATATATATATATATATATATATATATATATATATATACTTACTGTATATATATATATATATATATATATATATATACAGTAAGTATATATATATATATATATATATATATACAGTAAGTATATATATATATATATATATATATATATACAGTAAGTATATATATATATATATATATATATATATATATATATATATATATATATATATATATATACTTACTGTATATATATATATACTTAGTAAGTATATATATATATATATATATATACTTACTAAGTATATATATATACTTACAGTAAGTATATATATACTTACTGTAAGTATATATATATACTTAGTAAGTATATATATATATATATATATATATATATATATATATATATATATATATATATATATATATATATATATATATATATATATATATACTTACTAAGTATATATATATATATATATATATACTTACTAAAGCGTGTTTTGATAAGCATTTGCTCACTTTTTTTTTTTACTTTACGCTATACCGTTTTTTTCGAAAAAGAAGAAAAAAAACAAAAGAATGATGAATAAAACGATTGCTGCCCCATCCCAAACCCTCAGCCAATGTAGCAGCACTCCACTGCGAGTCAGGCTATTTGTCAGTCGATGTATGTACTGAAGCCCCCAGCAACAGGCTATTTCAGTATGATGCCAGATTGCTTAGCTTAGTACGTAATACTATTTGTATGTATATATATATATATATATATATATATATATATATATATATATATATATATATATATATATATATATATATATATATATATATATATACTGGAAGAGGAAAGATGAAGTTTATAGAGCAAGATAACGATTGACAAATGAATTAAAATATTGCAAATTATATGAGTCAGAAAAACAAAAATAAAGGAAACAAATCCAAAGAACTGATGTTCAAGGAAAAATACTGGACAAATTAGAATTTTAGTTTTAAAAAGAGGATTTAGGAAGAGTTACAGTAAACAGATAAGATTTAATAGAATGACGAGTAACACAAGAATGAATTTTAGTAGATAGGACAAGAGACACTAGCTCTTTCGAGCAGTGCCCATTATAGTATTTATAGAAAAAAGAAAAAGAAGCAACAATATGACAACCTGATAATGGTTGGAGGTTGGCTGCAAGAGCAGGTTTAACTATGTATAAAATGCATTTTTGCACCTATTCTTAAAAAGAAAAGATATCATTAGAAGATCCACCCCAGTTATGGCAACTGTATTCCATACAAGGACGAATTTGAGATTTATAGAGATAAAGAATAGAATTCGGAGTAAAGGCAGATTTCCACAGAAACAAATTAATTTGTGCAAAGCAAATTTCTTTACCGCAAAAATCTTTGAGCATGCGCACAAAAATTTTTTTTATTACTTAGCGAAATTTTTCAATTTGCAAAATGGTTGGACTGACTTCAACTTTTTTTGTGGCATATTTATTCACTTAAAGAATGAGCCAATTAAAACCTTTGAAATATGCAAATTTAGCGCGTTGAATAACAACAACTCATCGTAATTACTATGGCTGACAACAGTGGACATATTCGTGCAGTGTTTTAAAAATAGAAATGTAAATAATGTAGATTTTATAGCAGCTTTATTAAATACTTCTCAATATTAAGTTTCTATCACTAATAAAGAAGTTGTTAATGAGGAAGTTCAAAATGAAGGAAATGAAAACGATACTTTTCAGTCAATTGAATTCAAAAAAGAATTTTCTTGAAGCTGTTCGCAATTTATCGATTTTGTGAGATGTGAATCATCCACAAAATTGATGTGAATCATCCACAATCACTTACAAAGACAGAAATGTGAAAATAAATGAATGGAAAAAGCTTGCCTTGACATTTAATAAAGAAGAGGATTATCTACAGAAAAAGTTAAAAATATGAAAGAAACATTAAAGAAATGATTAGATAAATGTAATCGTTTGACAAGATCAGGAGCAGCAGCCTCAAACTTACCAATGTAAACTTTTTTATCAAATGGCATTTTTGCATGAAAAAAGTGCAAACAAACCAATGGAATCTAATGTAAACATTGTTCCAGAATTCGTTTTACCTTCATCATTTCAATCACAAAGTAATTTTTCACAATTAAGTCTAAGTGCAAGTAGCTGTAGCAGCGACTTCACTTTAACTGAATCTCAAAAAAGATTAATCAATACCACACCATCAAATAAAAAGAAGGCACGGATCATTAATCAGAACAAAGAATATTTGTCACAGTTGCCACACAGGTGCCATCTACTAAAATTCACTATCGTGTTACTTGTCATTCAAGTAAGTCTCTTCCTTTTTCTGTAACTGTTCCTAAGTGCTCCAAAAACTCTTATTCGTCTAGTTTTTTTCCTCAAACATCAGTTCTTTGGAATTCACTTCCTTCATCTTGCTTTCCTGATTCATATAATTAGCAATATTTTAAGTTGTCTGTTAATTGTTATCTTGCTCTTCAATCTTCATCTTTTCTCTTCCAGTATTTTCCAACTCTAATTAGTGGTTGGTTGCAGCCTTGTTGGAAGTAAAGATGTTTAAAACATTAAAACAAAAAAACAAAAAAATGCAACAAAATAATCAAAAATGCTTAGTAACAGCATAAAAACACATGTAAAATGATACTATAGTATGGATTTACTTATCTTTTAACTAAAGTTTTTCAGGAACAAAAAAAAAACGACATTTTAGTTCAATTTATGCCTACTGTATTGTGTTATTATTTGTACTTACTATTATGAGGACAAAAATAGTTATATTTGTTCATTCATCACTTGCTAAAATAATTTAAACAATAATCAATAGATGACGAGTATAAACATTTATTCTAACATGTGTCAATGTTACCCACATAAAGTCCCTGTGTGACCTAATGTAATGCAATGTTGAAATATTAAAAATTTACTCATCAAAATTAGGCCAATAAAAACTAAACAGACAAAAATTTAAATTATTTTAATAAGACTAACCAACACAGCTAGCATTATCAAGACCCATTGTCCATCCATCTTTACAGGAGCAGAGGTAACTACCATTTGTATTTGTACATACTCCATTACTCCATGAACATGGTGGTGCAGAGCTTAGACACTCATTATTATCTTAACAGATAAAAAAAATGTAAATGACAACAACAACAACAACAACAACAACAACAAAAATTGTAAATACATTTAAAAAGTAAACATTAAAAAAATTAATTAGCAAAAATTATATAAAGAGGAAAAAAACAAACAATTTAGTTGTAGCAATAAAAATAACAAAAATAGGAGAACTTAGAAACAAAGAGAATGTAGCTTGAATATTTTTATAGAAGATTACCAACACAGCTAACATTATCTTGACCCATTTTCCATCCATTTTTACAGGAGCAGATATAACTTCCATTTGTATTTATACATACTCCATTACTCCATGAACATGGTGGTGCAGAGCTTTGACACTCATTAATATCTTAACAGATAAAAAATGTAAATGACAACAACAACAACAACAACAACAACAACAACAACAACAACAACAACAACAAAAACAACAAAAATTGTAAATACATTTAAAAAGTAAACATTAAAAAAAATAATTAGCAAAAATTATTTAAAAAGAGGAAAAAAAAAACAATTTATTTGTACAATAAAAATAAAAAAAATAAGAGAATTTAGAAATAAAGAGAATGTAGCTTGAATATTTAAAATTCATTATTATATAGATCAAAAATGAGTATCAGTCTTTTGTCTCCTTTATTTAAAAAAAAAAACCGGGGTAAAGCAAAATAGCATAGATTTTTTTTCTTTGAATTGTCCAAAAAAAAATTATCTATGCTATTTTGCAATTTAACCTATTGTCATCTGAAAAATCAGGCAGAGCTCATTAGAGATCCTCTTGTTTTGTTTTTTTAATTCTTTTTTTTTATCATCTTATAGTTAGAATACTGTTGCTACTCATACTAGAAAATTGACGCTAAAATATTTATTATAAAAAAAATTTATTTGTTCTCTAGATACTGGACTTCAAATTTTGATTAATATTTAAAAATTAATGACAAAACGAATTCAAATGCATTTTCAAATTTAAAAATAAAACAATGCAACATTGTTCTCATTTCAAGTATGAAGTTAAAAAATAATATTTCATATTAATAAAAAAGAAATTTAAAAACAGTCTCCGCATAAGCTTTGCCGAATTCTTACAGATATCGGCTCTCAATCAAAAGAGAAAATGTTAAATCTATGATATTTTTTTCTTACTATTGCATAACCTCATAGGTATTTTTTATAAATATGATTAAAGATAAAAGGCTAATACTCATATTAAAAATAAACTTTTAATGTTTCAAAATCATAACTTTTAACCAAGAGTTAGCCTTAATGAAGCGAAAAAAAATGTGCTAATATCTAGAGAACCTACAAAATTTACCTTCTATTATGAATAGCATCAACATACTAAAATTTTAAACATACAAATTTTTTTAACAAAAAATTTGTGCTCTGCCTAATTTTTATAAAAAGTTGCCTTTAAACAAGCAAATGTATAAATTACAATAAACATTAAAATGAATTACCAACACAGCTAGCATTATCTTGACCTATTTTCCATCCATTTTTACAAGAGCAGAGATAACTACCATTTGTATTTGAACATACTCCATTACTCCATGAACATGGTGGTGAAGAACTTTGACACTCATTAATATCTTAAAAAGTAAAAGTAATTATGTCAAATTGTTTAAAACTTGATATACTATTTCACATTTCTTATACCACTTCTAGAAAAATGGAATGGAGTAAGACTTTTAGAGCAATTTTTTTTTAATTTTTGCAATTTGTTTAACTTGTTTTAATTATTGTCTTTAATTTGTATAATATCTAATAATATTTAAATTTATATTTAATAAGTTTTATTGGAATTAATTTCAATAAATTTTTCTACCTTTAATTTACCATTTAATGATAATATACTATTTTAAAAAAAGTAAAGAAAACAGTTTTAATAAAAAAATGGTCTTTTAAAAATATTTCTCACAAATGTTGGGGGGAATATTTGTAGACACCAAATTCCTAAGTCATGTAAAATACAATAATTTTTAAACTAATTCCTTAAAAGTAGAAATGGAGTTACATTTTTTTTTGAGCAATATATTTTTTGCATCTTGTATAATTTTTTTTATTCATTTCTTCTTTAAATATTAATTATTATTAAATTATTATTTCAATAAGTAAAAAGTATTAAATTAGTATTTTTAACAGGTAAAAAGAATTAAAAAATTGAAAAGAAGATGAAGAATTAGTAAAATGAGTTAAACAATGAAAAAACTACTAATATATTTATATAATATTTTGAGAATGAATTTAAAATTTTGAGAATGAAAACAAAAATTAAATATGATGCTATTCTTTTTTTTCAGCCCTCGACAGCAACAGAAAGACTTCACTCACACAACAGCAATAGAAAAGACTTCACTCACACAACAGCAATAGAAACGACTTCACTCACACAACAGCAATAGAAAAGACTTCACTCACACAACAGCAATAGAAAAGACTTCACTCACACAACAGCAATAGAAAAGACTTCACTCACACAACAGCAATAGAAACGACTTCACTCACACAACAGCAATAGAAAAGACTTCACTCACACAACAGCAATGTAAAAGACTTCACTCACACAACAGCAATAGAAAAGACTTCACTCACACAACAGCAATAGAAAAGACTTCACTCACACAACAGCAATAGAAAAGACTTCACTCACACAACAGCAATACTAAAGACTTCGCTCACACAACAGCAATAGAAAAGACTTCACTCACACAACAATAAAATATAACAACGTTATTAATAATAAGAAAAATTAAAATAATGAAAAATATTAATAAAAAGTTAAGGAAAAATAATAATTAAAAATGGGAAAAAAATGGGGAGAAAATCAAAATATTTTGTTCCAATAATAGAAATGTTAATAAAAAACAAAAAATGGACTTATAATCATTTTAATAATTTCAACAAAAAAATGATAATGAGGCAATAAGACAGCACTGTGGCGCTAAAAAATTTAAAGATAAAACACATTTTTATGTTGCTATAATGGAATGATATTTTAGTCTCAATTTTTACCATATCCGCAAACCTTACAAGATGATTTACAGAGAGTTATGTAGATCTGATGCCAATGTTAATTCTTTTTAATATATTCAAAATTATAATGGCAACCTTTTTTTTAGTTACAGTATTTGTAATTCAACCAATTAATCATAGGTCACCATGTTTTTTTAATGCATAGGTAATCAACAATCAAAAACATGGTGGCCAATAAGCATAATGATTTGTTTGTAGCAGTAAATTTTATAATGCAACAACATGGCAATGATTTTTGTTTACATGATTTAATATTTAATATTGCAGCTGTGGTGCAGTGGCCCTGGAGGTCCAAGGTTTGACACCGGCTCTAGCCCAATAGAGACTATTGGTAAGGAAGGAGATGTGAACTTCCTAGTTAAATGAACTTTCACAGTGCTCTGTGATAAGATCATAAGGACTTCTGGGAGAAATTACTATTAATAATTACTGTAACTATTAAATGGGACCTTAATAACTAAAAAAAAAAAAAGCTACAGAAAGTCCCTCAGCTTCAGTTATAAAAGTGTTATTAATTGAAGGGTGTAATAGACCGTTATAATTTATCTTCACATAACAAAGTTACATTTGTATTTGTTGGTGAAGATGGTGCTCTTCCTACTTCCTCAAAAATTATTCACTATAAAGGTCATCCTCTAAAAACTTTATCAAGTATGCCTGCCAACCTAGATCCTATGCTTTATTGCTTTTTTTCCCCAAGAGTTGATACTGGTTGGTATAATCAAATAGTGCAATAACCCTGAACTGCTAGACTGGCTAGAAATCATGTTACTTATTTCAGCTTAACTATAGAGTTTCAGCTTGAAAATTTTTCTGTTAAATAAATAACAAAAACATAATCATAATGTTAGAATAGGGAATCCTGAAGTCTACTTTGAAGATGATATTTTAATTATTCAAAAGGTAAACAAGATCTTATTATTACTTTTACATGCCATGGGTTGCATGTAAAAGTAATAAATAAAAAATAAATGGTGTTAAATAACAGAAAATTTATATCCATATCAGACTGCAAATAATAGACTTGATTTGATTACTTAAGTATTTAAACTCAAATTAAATAAAGTTTTCAAAGTTATTTTTAAACACAGTATATTAGGTAAAGCTGTTACATATTTACAGGTTATCAAGTTTCAAAAACATGGTTCAAAAACATGGTTTGCCACATTTTACTTCACTTAGCAAATGACTTAAAAAACAACACTCAATAATTTAATAATTTAAAACAACAATAATTTAAAAATAATCTAATAACAACACAGGTTGTCAAAAATTTAATAATTTGTATTACATTGTTAATAATGAATTTATGATGCAATTAAAAGTTGCATGATTTGAATGACAGTTGATGTTCTATGAATCCAAACTCCTTTTGCATAAAAAAATAGGGTAGGCAATAAAAGTAGCAGTTCATAATCTTTCTCCATTACTATAGGCGTTGTGATAGAGGCTTGGCTATCAATATTAAAGGCAACTATGTTGATAAAATCAAATCAAATATATTTCTGAATAAAAGTTCTTACAACAAGGATATTTACAAATAGTAATGAGTACAAATATTAAGTAAACACCTGTCAAATTCAATAATAACAATAATGATAATAAAATAATGATAATAACAACAATAAATATAATATAAATATCAATAATAGTAGTAATTATAAAAAATTGTACTATAAAATATAACAATAAAATAACAACAACAATAATAGCAGTAATAAAAATAGTTAATATTATAAAAATACACTAATAATAACAATAAAATATACAATAATAATAATAAAAATATTAATATTAATATGGTTATTATTATTATTGTATATTTTATTACTAATAATAGTTAAAAGTAGTTAATAATAGTAATGTAAATATTTATAAAAATAACAATAAGCAATAGTAATGAACAAATTATAATAGAAATTAGAAATATCAAACCTGTTTTATTAATTACAGTAACACAAAATAATAATCAAGACAACAAAAATTGATTATAGAAATTATAAATATTAACAGTAATTTTTTAATAAAAAGTAGAATAAACTGTTTTTAAAGGTTTAGAGTGAATTGAAAGTTTTTAGTTCATAAGGAAGGTTGTTACAAGTTTTGATGCTTTGATATTTTATAGATTTATGTCCATAATTATAAGAGCAGTGTTTAGAGACAGACAGGTTTAAATTACTATTGGAACGAAGGTGATATTGAGTGTTAGCACTTTTGAAAAAGATGAAAGTTAAAGGTAGGTAATAGTGTTAGTGGTTCCAGACAAATTGACAGTTTAAAAGTTAAATATAGTCACATAGATCACATTAGGATTAAAATAATTATTCTGGAAATAAATAATTTTTAAAACCTAATAAGAGCTTGTGGACTGCCCCCATACTTGGCATGCATATTTTAGAAGTAAGCCAAAAATATCATGATATTTGTTCGAGTGTTTCAAGATAAACACAATGGCAAATTTTGGCTTAACGTCGGATGGTACCTGAAAACTCTTGGTTATCAACAAAGTATCAACTCCACATTAATATTGAAGCATGGTTGTCTGTGAAGGCTGTTATAACTAACAATCATTTCAACAAATACGTATACAAGCATGATTGTGCAAATACTTTAAAAAATGAACAAATTAATCATGATAAGCTACTTTTTGAAAATCTTTATCAATATGTCCTGAGTATTGTGGTGAATATTCAAGTATCCTATAAATAATATACAAATGTTTAAATTACTATAAAATGAATTACCAACACAGCTAGCATTATCAGGACCCATTGTCCATCCATCTTTACAGGAGCAGAGATAACTACCATTTGTATTTGTACATACTCCATTACTCCATGAACATGGAGGTCCAGAACTTTGACACTCGTTAATATCTTTACAAACAAAAATATAAATAACATCAACAACAACAAAAAAATTGAACAATAGTGAATACATTTAAAAGTAAACATTAAAAATTTTAGCAAAAATTATTAAAAAAGAGGAAGAAAAAAAAACAACTTAGTTGTAGCAATAAAAACAACAAAGCTAAAATGTATTTAGAAATAGAGAGAAGAATATAACTAGATTATTATTAGAGAATAAATAATAAATAAAAATCAATATAAATTATAAAATGAAATACCAACACAGCTAGCATTATCTTGACCCATTTTCCATCCATTCTTACAGGAGCAGAGATAATTACCATTTGTATTTGTACATACTCCATTACTCCATGAACATGGTGGTGCAGAGTTTTGACACTCATTAATATCTTAAAAAAATTTTTAATATTAAATTTGTTAAAAATCATTATACTTTTCCACAATTCTCAAACCATTTTTAGAAAAACAAAAATGAAGTAACGTTTTAAGAGAATTGTTTTTATTTTCCAATTTGTATAACTTGTTTTAATTAATGTTTCTAATTTGAAATAAAATTTCAAAATTTTTAATAAGTTTTTCTATTTTTAATTTACCACTTAATGACAGAATAGGTACTATTTACAGAAACAAATTATATATATATATATATATATATATATATATATATATATATATATATATATATATATATATATATATATATATATATATATATATATATATACATATATATATATATATATATATATATATACATATATATATATATATATATATATATATATATATATATATATATATATATATATATATATATATATATATATATATATATATATATATATATATATATATATATATATATATATATATATATATATATATATATATATATATATATATATATATATATATCAACAATCAAAAAACAACATTTTTAAAAATGACATAAATGAAGTTTTTCAAACTTGACGCTTTTGATTGTAGAAAAAAATAAATTTTATGATATTCAAATTTATTGCTAGAGAAGCAAATATACATGTCGCATCAAAATTTACTACAACTTCTACTTATTCTAACAGCTACAACAAAATGTGAACTGTTGATAAATAATCGTATAATAATAATATATTATTATATGATTAATATAATAATAAAAATATATTATTGATAATCATAATCTATTTTTTCTATAGTTTTAAGTTTTATAGTTTAAGTTTTATCCCTAGTAGTTTGGATAAGTATACTTATTTAGTTTTAATAAATATATGATACTTATCAAAACTAAACAAACTAATATTTAATCTACTTTAAAATGACTAACCTACACAGCTAGCATTGTCCTGACCCATCTTCCATCCATTTTTACAGGAGCAGATAAAACTACCATTTGTATTTGAACATACTCCATTACTCCATGAACATGGTGGTGAAGAGCTATCACACTCGTTAATATCTTTAAAAAAATAAAAACAAATTTTATACATCAAGTTATTTAAAATTTTATTTTATCAAACTATTTTATTTCATAAATAGAAATTTCAATACAAAATGAAAAAATTGAGATTGTTATTATAGTAAAGTTTTTTTTTTGTTTTTAGGTTTCAAAATAAAGAGATTTTGAAATAAACTTGATGATGTCTTTGAAATTATACAAATTGAATAAAACATTAAAAACATTAAATTAATATACAATTTCAAAAATCTCTTTAAGAAGTTGTTTTGTGTGAGAATAATATAAAAAAACTCTTATTTATTGTGCAAACTGTGTTTTTTTGATAAAGAGATTATTTGAATTCAAATTTATTGTGCAAACTGTGTTTTTTTGATAAAAAGATTATTTGATTTCAAATTTATTGTGCAAACTGTGTTTTTTTGATAAAAAGATTATTTGATTTCAAATTTATTGTGCAAACTGTGTTTTTTTGATAAAGAGATTATTTGAATTAGTTTGTATGACAAAGAATGAGTGAATAATAAATTTTGTTTGTTGGTGTTTACTTTATGCATTACTTACACTATAAAAAATTCCATTGCATTTACCAATTTTAATGGATTCAATATGATTCCTTTAAGATTTTAATCAATAAATAATTTTAATATAGAAATTTTCTTTAAAAAATATTATAATCATAAACTTTTTTTTTTAAATTTATAAATTATATTAATGAATAATTGGAATAATTGATTTGGAATGAAAAAACTATAACAATCTTCTAAATGGTAAAATTACAATAAAAATATTCAGCCTTGATTGATATCTTTATATCTTTATGTTGATCTACATAACTTTTTATAACCAGAAATGTCATTGGATTATAAGGAGTTGCTTTAACTTTTCTAATATGTCCAAACTACACAATTATGCAATCAATTATGGAGAATTGACATTAATTTTATAACTTTAGGTTAAAGGAAACAAATAACAACAACAACAACAAAAATTAACATTAACAAATCATAATTGGCAGAACTTTTTATTGTTCTAATTCACTCCTAACAAGGCTGAAAGCAATCACTGTTAAGTTGGAAGTTACTAGAAAAAAAAAAGTGTTAAAAAGCAAGAAAATGGTTGACAGAAGACTTGAAAAGTTGTAGGTTGTATGAGTCAGGAAAATATGAAAATAGGAGAGTGCCAAAGGGTTGCGTTGCAGGGGAAAAACTGGACAAATAAAAGTTTTTAGATAATACAGTAAAAAGATTTGACTTTGCAGAATGACAAGAATTACAATAATGAGTTTTGGTTGATGGAACTCCTAAAAATTTGTTGGCTGAAGACACAAAGACCTTGATAATAGAGGGAAAATTGATTGAATGATAGCTAGAAGAGTCAGAATGTTCTCAAGAGAGAAAAAGTTCTTTACAAATAGTTCTGCTTTATTCTTATGAGAGGAAATACAATCAGTCCCATGAATGAGAGATGGAATCTCTCATTCATGGGACTCTCATTCATTGTAGACCTACCTTGGGAGAGGTTATAAGATCAGTCCCATGAATTAGAATGGAATGTTAGACCTAACTTTGTTAATGACACTGTTGAAGATTTTCCAAAAGTCTCTAGAACCAAACTTCTGAGATAAGATATGAGATTTAGTTAATTCAAAATAATGGAGCTAACCATTTGACAGCACTTTTTTACATCAATTTATCACAATAATAAATAGCCGTTTGTTATTAAGAGAGTTGTTCTTTTAAAAAAGATGAAAAAAATGATTACAATTATAAATAGCAGTAGCACATAAATTTGAATAATGTGTAGAATCTCTTCGGTTATGTGACCAACAACCAACAAAGAAGGAAAAAAAGCTTCCATACCTGTCTGGATTCAGGAGGTTACATAGGAGATGCATTTATCAGCTGAGAGAAAAAAGACATGAAGAAAATCACAAAAAGAAACCCAGTCAGTTTTAGGGAAGTAATAAGTAGTACAATGATAGGGTGATTCCAAAATATAAATACGAGGTGAAAGATTTATAGAGATCATTTCACGGTCAGAACGACCTAAAGGAGAACAAGAAAAAACTGAAAACTAGAGCTAGAGACAAAACATAAGACATAAATGCTCACTGAGACAAAACATAAGACATAAATGCTCACTGACTATTAAGTCACATAATAAAGTTCATCAGTCTTTCACATTTGATAAGTTTGACATAAAACAGCAAATTTATGTAAGTTATGTATCTTAAGTATATAATGATTATATAATTTATATATGTTATGAATCTTAAAAAAATAAGTATCGAAAAAACATGCATTTTATTTTTCATGAACCAATATAAAAGCTTTTATAAATAATATCCATACTTTTATTCTAGATACATTATTACATTCAAAGCAAATTGTTCCCAATTGATGATGCGGTTGGTAAAACAGTTTCTTCTAATTGAGTGTCTACTATTTTTGGAAATGTACCTGTTATAATGGATATATTTACGGACATATTCATGATGTACAAGCAAATTCATGATGGAGGCGTACAAGCAAAACATATAATAATTAAACAATATCACCCTTTAAAAATGAAAATGTGTCGGGTAAGACCTAAAATTCTATTTGCTTTAGAAACACATGCAGATATATGATAATTGTATTTCAGATCGTTTTTTAATATGACACCATGGTCGGTAAAGTGGATGTTGATACCTTGCTCTATTGCCAGGTCTATAGTTGGAAGGATAAAGTTTATCATGATTTTTAAAAATTAATACTATGATTGAATCTTTTCACGCATTTAGTACTTCTCACGATTCAAAGAATAGCCTAAAAGTATGTTCAATAAGAATGCTCAAACATTCAGAGCAGGTACTCAATACATATTGATGGACTCCATCGTTCCCACAGGCTTTGCATTTATCCAGTGATTTCAATTGTAAAACAATTTCTTTTAAACTAATTTTTTTTTTTTTATATCATTTTCAAAATTAACTTGAATAACAGGAATAAAATTTTGGTAAGGCTTTGTTATCTTTTTGAGTAAAGTCGCATTGAAAAAACAAGTTTTTAAAACCCAATGCTTTTATATGTCATTATAAAACACAAATTTTGCAATCAATTTTTTCTGATTTTTACTATTTTATTTTATTAACATTCTGCTGTATGCGTGTGTAAAAAAACAATAATAACTCAGGATGAGGCAAGTCTCAAACCACAGACATTTCATTTACAAAGTCAACGTCTTATCCAATTAAGTTAAACGCGCGTATAAGTTGAAAACAAATAATATACTTATTTTAAATATTCTTCTTTCCAAATAAATTTTTTTTATATATTATGGGAAACTCTAAAAAATGAAGAAACTATTTAACTTAAAATTATTTTTTTTTTAAATTTCTACTTTATTTGAAACTATAGTGTTTTTTTTACTAATTTAAAAATATTAGTTTTTATGTTAATACATGCAAGTAAATAATTACACATTAAAAATCATTTCATGCTTCGTTTAAACATTTATACATAAATTATTTTTTATATTAATTTATTTTAAAAGATTAACATTTCTTATAAAAAATACATAACTATATGAATAAATAAACACTTTATATAACATTCATTTATACTTCATATAAAAAATCATTGTTTTGATTATTAAATAATATAAAAGCATTAAAGATCAAACTTTACTTGTAACGACTTTCAAAAACATATGACATTTTTTATGCAACTAAATTTTTTTATTTTTTAAGTGTATTAACTTAAATGATTTTTATATAAAGTTAATTAAAGAGACTCATTGTCTAAAAAAGTCATTGTTTAAGAAAACAAATTTTTTTATTTTTTAATGTTTATGTAAAAAATACATACTTTATAATTTAAAAAATATTTAATATAGTTAAAACTTTCCAATGATACTTTAAACAAAAATCATTATTAGCAAATTGTTACTTTACTTAAATACAATTTGCTAATATAAAAACATTAGTAAAGATAAAAGTTTCATTGTCATTTCTCTAAGTTATAATTCAAAATCTTTTTCATTCAGAGCATTTTTGAAATGTTTTTTGAATTAAATAGCAACGGTCTTATCAACAAAGCAAAATATTATGGTCATATGATGATGTACAGATATTAGATAGTAATGATAACAGAAAGTACACTTCTACTAGTCTTTGCTTAGAAAGCGAATCCTTCAAAGCAGCAAGACATAGGACTTTGATTAAAACTTTTTAAAATAGAGCTTAATAAAATGAAGAAAAAAAAGAAATAACGTAATAATTGCAGTATTAATTTAATAATTTATTTTTTAACTCTAAAGTATTTTTTTATTTCTAAAGCATCTACAATGAAAATATTTTACACAATCATTGCAGTGTGACGTTAACTTTATTAAAATTTATGTCTTAATCATAAACTTATCAAAATTAAACAAGCAAATGTTTAAACTACTATAAAATAAATTACCAACACAGCTAGCATTATCTTGACCCATTTTCCATCCAACTTTACAGGAGCAGAGATAACTACCATTTGTATTTGTACATACTCCATTACTCCATGAACATGGTGGTGCAGAGTTTTGACACTCATTAATATCTTTTTAAAAAAATAATTTTAAATATCAAATTGATAAAAACTTATTATACCTTTCACAAATCTAAAACCACTTCTAAAAAAATGAAAATGAAGAAACAATAATATTTTTAACAATGATGTCTTAGATTAAATGATGTCTTAGATTAAAGTTGTAAAACATTTTCAGGTTATTGAGTTTTAAAAGTACGGTTTGCCACATGTCCATATTTTGCTTCAATTAGCAAACAACAATAAACTTGAAACAAGAAAGGATATTAATAATTTGATATATGTAAAAATCCATTTGTTAATCAATACTATAGGCATTGCGAAGATGGTGTTGTGAAAATGGCGTTGTGAAGATGGCATTGTGAAGATGGAGTTATTAATCAGATGACTTTGTTGTCAATATTAAAAGAAAAAATCCAGATGAGCAATGGGTGGTACCTCAGATGTCATTCATAAAGTGTATATGCTCATCGGAGGTCTGCAAATGGCATACAAAAGGGTATAAGAAGGGGGGGGGGGGAATGAAGTGGTTTAATATACATCCATATGTACACACATCCCACCCCTTATAGCACTGGCCCTAAGTAAGGCAGATGTGTATTTCAATTTTTTTTCATTTTTTGCAGAAAAAGATTTTTTTTCTTTATTTTATGCATTTTTAATGCATAGTTAAGTCAAATTTTAAATGTTTTGAGAAAAATAAAAAAATTATAAGTATTTTTTCAATCTCAATAATTATGTAATTGTAAGTAAATATATTTTTACTCATACTAAAATAGTTAGATTTGTACCTTATTTATTAAATCAGAATGTTGAAAAAATAGACTTTTAGATAAACAATTTTTTAATGGGATCTGGAGCCAAAACCAAGTCCTAATTTTAGATTAGGAGCAGGGGTAAAAGCAAAGGTAAAAGTAATTCTTTAGGGGTAAAAGCAAAGGTAAAAGTAATTCTTTACTTTAATTTAATACTTATTTCTAAATATTTTATATATTTTTTTGAAATACAATTTTTTTAATTCATAAAAAGTGGGGAGAGGGTTAATTCAGAAGCAAACAAGCCTTTTAAGGATGAGGAAAAGGGTTAGATGGAGGAAAAAGGAGGGACTATCAAATTTCTAAATTTTATTTTTTATATGCACTTATTAAACAACCAATTTTTTTATAAGCAAGGTCTCTAAGAACAAACCTTGCTTATCAAAAAAATATTGAGTCCACATTAATGTGTCTGTAAAAGCTGTATTAAGCTTGAATGTCTAAAAAAGGCTGTTAATTAATTATGCAAATGAACAATTTAATCATAATGAGGCAAACACTTTTTTAGATTATCTTAATGTTAGTGTGTCTTTAACATTTTGGCTAATATTTAAGTATCTCATAAGTTATATGTCATTTTCTGTCATTTTAACCATTTTCTGGTTGAAAAAATCAGGTTTGATAAAAAGATTTTCGTAGATTCTTTGCAAGCAAAAGCAGTTGAAAATGTTCAACAATCAATTGATGGAGCCGATAGAATGAGATCGCTGCACAATACCATTCAATTAAATGTAATTCTTGCTACATTGAATCTGCAACCAAGTATGCAAAACCAACATTCTAGATTGTTTTCTAGTGTATCTGTTATTTTTTTAAGTGTGTAAAATCAACATTCTAGCTGATAGTTGAAAACATTTACATACAATTGTTTGATTGCTGAAACCAGAAATAGGGGTGTTGAATATGCTATAGCAGCATAGACTGGCATAGCATCAACTTTTCCTAGAAATGGATCTACACTGCATGGCTTATTCAAACTTCCTGTCCCAATATTGTATAACTCCTTTAGGTATGTCTCCTAATTGTTTAAAATTAAAGATTGGTTGAGTAATTATTTTACTTAGAAATTAAAATATTAAAGTAGAGCTATCCAATTCCATTTGAATGAAAATTTGTACTTTTTAAAATAATTATATTGATTCAGAAGTTGTGAAGAAGTTGTTCCTTGAGTAAAACAGGTATTTGTTACTCAAAAACAGTTTGTTAGACTCTAACTTATTTTTTGTTGTAATATGTTGTCAGGTGCCTGATTGGCTAACGCCATGACAATCAAAAAATTAAAAGGTCAAAATTTGATAAAAAACTGTGTTTTTCTCACAGCCAACTATATATTGCCTATAGCTTATATGTGTTTAATATTTTTATATGTGTTTAATATTTTCTAACAATTGAAATAAACAAAAAATAGCAAGTATGAACAATCAATTTGGAACAGACTATAAGTCACCTACTGCTAATATATGTTAACAAGTATAATTATTTTATAAGCACTAAATGGGAAAAGTGTGGCCATGTAAAACAAAACAATACTCAAACAACATCTTTTTCAAAATGGAAATGAAATAATATTTTTTTTTTTGTTTATTTTTAGTAATGATTTTTATTTTTGCAATTCGCATAACAATTTGTTTCCTTTTTAGAATTAATATTTAAAAAAAAGTTTATTTACTTCTAACTTACATTTAAAGACAGAAACAGTTTTGCTAACACAATGCTAAAGAAGATATTTAAAGTCAACAAACTTTACCATGCAGAATAAAAGATTGAAAAACAAAATGTAAAGAAGAATATCTGGAAGTGCTAAAAAAACAAGAAGATAAAATGCTGGATCATCTTGACTCATTGCATGGGTTTTGCTTGTGTCTATGTTTTATTTTATTCTATTATCTATTGTGGAAACAGCTCTATTATTCAGATTTTAGGTTCTGAGGTCGGCTGGTAGTCAGGTTTCCGAAACTCTATAGTAGCTCTAAGAGAGGCTGATTCCATCAATAGCTGTAAAGTATCAGAGTACTAACAGCGCCATGTTGCACATAAATGGTGTCATTGTTCATACGTTTGGTATGCATTGTTCACCAAACCTACTTGCCCTTTGTGAGACTAATTTGAGTTCAGCTGTCTCATCTTGTGATCTTATTGCTGATGGTTCTTTATTTCAAAAAAACTCCAATAGTCATATGCATGACTATTGAAGTTTTTTTGATTTGTAAATGCCCTGGGCATTTACATTCATAAGAACTCACTTATTTGTCAGGAATCTAAGTTTGAATTCTTAGATTATTATTTTACAAACTTCACTCTATCAACTTTCTCTATATCTTTGTTCTATATTCCTCTCCTTCATCTCAAGATCTTTTGCATGTTATTTCTGATCAATTAGCAAGCACTTATTTCTGATCAAATGACAAAGCACTTTCTTTTTTTTCTTCAGCCTATATTGTTGTTGTTTGTAACTTAAATGCTAATCACACTGAATGGCTTGCTTCCAGTGTCAGTGATTCTGCAGACATTAAGGCCTACAAATTTTGCTTTTCTCAATCTCCAACACAAATAGTCAACTTTCAAAATCGCTTTCCAGACAATCCGAATCATTTACCTTCACTACTCAACTTATGCCTTTCTGGTCCTAGTCAGTACTCAGTTACTTACCATTGCTTACTTACATTTACCCTTACTTACCCTTGATTACTTACTCTTGCTTCTGATTTTAATTAGGGCTTGATATCACTAAAATATTATCTCATTCTTCTTCATTATTAGAATCCCTCTAAAATTGTATCTTTTACAACTACCTTAAAGCTAACTGGGACTCTTTCTGTGATTTTCTTCGTGATGGCTCTTGGGAAGAAACTTTTAGTGTTCCTGCTGACAAATGTTCTTTACATGTAACTTCTTGGATTCTGGCTGGCATGGAATTTTTTATTCTCTTTCGACGATTTTAAGTCAAGCCTCAATCTTCCCTATGGTTTTCCTCTCATTGCGCTGCTGCAATTTCTAATCATAACCATTACTTCCATATCTATCGCCGAAACAATTCTCCATAAAACAGACGTTTGTTTACTATTGTTAGAAACCATTGTAAAAAGGTTTTGTCAAACGCTAAAGCCCTATATTCTCAGGTCATAAAATCTTGTATTTCATCTAAAAAATTAAGCTCTCGTGCCTTCTGGAGAATCTTTAACAGTATCAATAATAAAAGCAAATCTGTTATTCCACCTCTCGTGTATGGTTCAAATTTTTTCAATATATAATATAATTAAGAAGAGAAGTGATCAGTGTGATAAAATAAGTATAAAAATGGTTGGTTTAGTAAAGACCCGTATTTTATGGGTTTGGACAATTAGACTCGCACAAACTGTCAACATTTCAATATTTATGAATTGCAACCCTCTCACTGAGTTTCACTCTTCTTTATGTCTTCTAGAACTATCATTTACTACTGACCTCTAAAAAAAACTTTTCATACAATTGATTGTTAAGTTAGCATCTGCAAAGGTTGCTTCTCTTTATCATTCTCACCATTAACTTATTCCTGATTCTATTCTCTACTTCTACAAATCTCATATTTGTCCCTATATAGAATACTGTTGCCATATTTACGCTGATTTTTCAATTAATGCTCTTTCTCTTCAAGACATGGTCCGAAAACGTATTGTAAAGACATGGTCCGAAAACGTATTGTAAAGATATGGTCCGAAAACATATTGTAAATGTGGTTGTCTTTTATATGCCAAGCTTGAGCCTCTCTCCAATTGTCGAAAGGTTGCCCCTCTTTCTCTTTTTTACAAATACTATAAATATAATGGGTGCTACTCAAAGAAACTATTGTTTCTTTTTCCATCAACTAAAACTCATTCTTGCTTGACTTGGCATTCAGAATTCTTTTTTCTGTATTTTTTTCTGCATGCTACAAAAACTTTTATTTGTCTAGTTTTTTTAGCACCCATATTAACTCTCTCCCATCTTAATGTTTTCATGACTTGCACAACAATTTTTTAAGTCTTCTGTCAACCATTTCCTTACTATTTAACTTTTTCTTTGGTTTCTATTAACTTCTAACTTTATTGTGGTTGTTGTTGTTATTATTAAGAGTGAATCCAAACATAAAAAAAAAAATTCTAAGTAATCTAATTGGGTATAGTCAGCACTAGGTAACAATTTAGCAGCTTTTAAGGATAAGTTTGATCTTTGATTTAAGGATAAGTTTGATCAACCTTGTTATGAGTAAAAAAGAACAAAAATAAAAATAATAATTAAAACTTACAGGTGAATGAACATCGTGTCAAAGGTTTAAAAGAACACAAATATACATATAGCAACTTACAGGTGAGTGAACACCATGCAAGAGATCAAGAAAGAACTCTGACATACATATATTGTAAATGTGAGCTAGCAAAAATTGTGGAAAAAGTTTAGAAACACCAACTTTTTTTCACATTTTACTGCACAACTTTCCACAAACTTTCTTAAATAAGCTGGAATTTTTACCAAATGCCCTTTATACTATTAGAATTTAAAATAAAAACCAAAAAAGTTGTAAAATTAAATGGTTAATTAACTTTTATTTATTTTTTTGAAAAAGCTTCCTTGCAAAAGTTTAGAAACAGTATCATACCTAGTAAATGATTGGGGTTGATATTTGACGGGGGCTGGGGCTGGGTTTGATAAAATATAGCCAGGGTCAGGGCCGGGTTTGTGACCAGGTCTGCATAAACATTTATACATTCTAAAGTATATATTTTTTTATTTAAAATTTATATTATATTTTGTATATATATGCGTTTATAAACATCATTATGATCAACATGATCATCATAATCATCATTACCATCATCATTATCATCATCATCATCGTCATCATCATCTCTTTTGGCAAATGCTACACCATATACCATATAAATACTAAAGCTTATATAAATATGAAAGGATATTGTATGCCAGCATCTAAATAAATTGCAGACATATATGTTTATATGCATACTATGCATGCATAAAGCGGATCTAGGAAGCTTTTATTCCTTCTGAAATAAAAGTTTGGAAGCTTTTATTTCTACTCTTCAATTTTAAGTCAAACCTCATTCTACTCCATATTTTTCACCATCTTGAGCAGTTGCTTTATTAATCATTTATTTCATCTTTTTTACAAGAACATCTCTCTTAAAAACAAATTTCCTTTTAATATTCAAAGAAAAAAAGTAAAAAGGTCCTGTATGATGTTAAACTCTATTATTCTCAGTTTACTAAATCTTGTATTTTATGTCAGATGTTAGGTTCTAGAGACTTTTGGTTAGTCCTCAACAATGTCATTAACTAAAATAAGTCTAACATTTAATCTCATTAATTATATAATATTTAATTAAATGCTAAATAAGTGGTTCCAATATTTCAAAACTCCAGTAAAAACTTTGACCTATCCAACTATCCTACGATGAGTCTTCACTCTGTTATTAGTTTCTCTATATAAAGGTTTTGAGACTATCAAATTATTTCTTACTAACTGCAGTAATAAAGTTATTCTTAAAAGCCTACTCTCTTCTTTATTTCAAGCAACTTTAAGGGTATCACAAGGTATCTTGTGGTACCCTTAAAATGGAACCACAAGATACTTTTTTTTTTGTTGTTAGCAAAAAAAACTCGTTTATTTACTGCAAAAAAATATTGCAATAATGTTGGTAAACCTATATTGATGAATAACAACCCTCTTACTCTCAGACAAAGTTTAAAAGCACATTGTAAATGTAATGAGGTCATGGTGGAGTGGTAGAGGGCTAGCACTATAAGCAAAAGGTACTGAGTTCGATCCCCACTAAGTCCCTGGTAGTACCGCACTCAACGTGTTTTTCTGCACAGTGGCCTTGGTTGTTAAGGTTTTAGTTAAAAAGAAGAGAAAGGGTAATAAGGTATCTTAAAATAGAGAATAAGTAAAATAACCACAATTAATTAGCCTCCTTGTCTGTAGTGGCATTTTCAGCTTTGGTGAGGTAAAATAACATATAAAAAAAATAAAGTAGAGCTGCTTTATCTGCCAAGCTTAAGCCACTCTCCCGTTGTTTTAAGGATGCATTTTCTTCTTTTTTCTACAAATACAATCATGGTCAATGCTCAAACAAGCTATCGCCTTTATTACGATAAACCAAAACGTATTCTAGCTTGTTTCTTATTCAACAAGTTGCATCCTTTTACTGAATTTGTCCCTTTATGCTATAAAAATTTTTATTAATCCAGTTTTTTTTTTCCCACATCAAAAACTTTATAACTATTAGCCATCTTCATGTTTTTCTTTTATATACAACCTACAACTTTACAAGTCTTCAGTTAACCATTTCCGAGTATATTTTTACTTATTCTCTATTTTAAAGTAACTCACAACTTAATAGTGGTTACTTGCAATCTTGTTGGAAGTAAATTAGAGTTTGTAAAATGTATAAATATATACCAGTATTTAATAAATAGTAAATGTAAGCATAAAATTATAACATATAAAATATTATAAATTTTTTCTAGCCCTGGCTATCAACCCTTGCTAAATCTTACAGTTTAGGTCATTTACTAATCATACCCTGCAATTAATTTATGTTTTTGTAAACAAAAGAAAAATTTAAGGCCAAAATCTTTGTAAAATTTAATAATTTAATTACTTTGAGATATTATTAAGGCAGTAAAGTACAACTAACTGCCAAAATATTTGTAAAATTTTATAATTCAATTACTTAGCAATATTTTAAAAACATCGGAAAAGCTAAGTAAAATTTCAAAGAAATTAAAGGAATTAACTATAAAAGCTGTGGGAAATAAATGACTTACATGCAGAGTTCTGAACTTTGCAATGTTTCTAAACTATGAATATGTCACATTATGAAAACACTTTGCCTGTGCAAAATATTGAAAGCAATTAAAATTTGCAAAAGATCATATTAGTTGGTCAGTTAATGACAGGTCAAAAGTCCTTTTTTTTGATGAATTAAAGTTTATGCTATTCAGTAGTGATGAAATTATGTTAGGCCCCTAGTAGGAGACAGATTTAATCCAAAATATCAGTTACCTACTGATGAACATGGAGGTGGAAATGTTATGATTTGGGTTTGTTTTAGTTGTGACAATGTGGGTTCCATTCATTACATAGCAGATACTATGAACAAGAGAGTTTATTTAGACATCATAAAGAATGTTATGCTGCCACATGCAAAGCATAAAATGACTTGCAAATGGATCTTACAACAAGATAATGATCCAAAGCATCGTGCCAGATCTGATATGGAGTATTTGAAATCACAAAAAATCAAAGTTCTTGAATGCCATTCACAGAGCTCAGGTCTCGATCCTATTGAGTATTTTTGGGAGTACATCAACTGGGAATTAGTATGTAGAAAAACAACCAACAAAGACCATTTATTTGCATCAATTAAAGAATGTTGGTATAATATTCCTCAGAATGTTATCATTAAATTGGTAGATTTAATGTCTATTCGCTGTGTGTTTTATTAAAACTATTTTATTGTTAAAAAATTGTTATTTTGTGAATTTTAGTAAAAGTTTCAGCCTTTTTGAAAGAAAAAATAATCAAATTCAGTTGTTTCTAAACAATTGCCCGGAAGATTTTTCAAAAAAACAATTAAATGTTAATTAATCGTTCAATTATACAACTTTCGTGGTTTTTATTTTAAACTGAAATAATATAGAGCACATTTGGTAAAAATTTTAGCTTATTTATGAAAGTTTGTGAAAAGTTTGTGTTTCTAACCTTTCGCATGCTATTGTGTGTGTGTATATATATATATATATATATATATATATATATATATATATATATATATATATATATATATATATATATATATATATATATATATATATATATATATATATATATCACTATAGGCATGACAGATATTAGATTAGTATTTATAACAGGAGGTACACTTCTTCTAGCATTTTTGTTTAGAAATTTTAAAAGGCAGCAGAAAGTAGGACTTTTATTAAAACTTATTATAATAGAACCTATTAAAATAGAGAGAAAAAAGAAAAACCATTATAACTACAGTAAAAAAACAATACAATAATATAGTTTATAACTAGAAATAATGTTTTAAAAGCATGAAAAATTCTTTGTTTATCCATCTACATCTAATTCGTCTGGCTTTCTATCTGTCGTTTTTAATATTTTATTAAATTTTTTATTCTAATATTAGTATTTTGACTAATACTAATATTTTGACATTCTTTATCTATTTATATATCTTTTTTCATTCAACTATTTTCTGCTTTGTATTAAATTTTTGTTGCTGTCATTATTTACTAAATTTTAGTTGCTGCTGCTATTGTCTTTATTTATGAAATTCCTCATTTTATTATAATTGTTATCATTATTATTATTGCTATTATTGTTATTATTACTATAATTATTATTTTTATTATTATTATTACTATTATAACTAGTATTATTGATATAAATTATTATTACTACTTTCATCATTGTCTATAGCGTCATGTTGAATATTCAGGTATTTACTTTATATAAGTACTTGTACAATTGTAAGTTTCCTTGAAATGTTATAACTTATTTCGAAATATATAAGATTTGATTTTGAAAATAAATTTAAACATTTTATATTGATTTATGACATGTAGCATTTTATTTGAGATGCCACAAATATGTTTAAACAATTGAAATGGCAAAAAAAAACTTTTAAAACCAAAAAAAAAAAGATAAAGATTTTAAAGTTTTTTGAACTCAAAAATCATTGACTGTAACATCGGCTATATATATAACAATATCATTGACTGCAACAACAATTGTTTCCTAACAACTCTGAAAGTAATCAATTTTTTTAATTCTAAAATGTTCTTATTTCTAAAGAAACAAATAATAATATTTTACACAATTATTGCAATGTGACACTAACTTTATTAAAACTTAATCATATCCTTTTCAAAATATATAGTCTTAATCATATGCTTATCAAAATTAAACAAACAAATGTTTAAATCACTATAAAAATGAATTACCAACACAGCTAGCATTATCTTGACCTATTTTCCATCCATTTTTACAGGAGCAGAGATAACTACCATTTGTATTTGTACATACTCCATTACTCCATGAACATGGTGGTGAAGAGCTTTGACACTCATTAATATCTTAAAAAGTAAAAGTAATTAAAATATTGTTTTAAATTCATTAATCTAAAAATTGTTTTAAATTCATCTTTTCACAATTTTTAAGTCACTTCTAGAAAAATAAAATGGAGTAAGCTTCTAGAAAAATAAGCTGTGACTAGAATGGCATGGAAGTATGTGTATATTGTTAATGGTATTGTTATTGGTATGTTTTGTAAAGTTTAATTAGTTTGTTATAAGATGACACTGAATGGTAAAATACTCTTAAAGAGGCAGTTTTGATAATTATGCCAAAGCAAACTATACAGTTACTTTAAATTATTTTGACCTTTCTTGCACCTGAAATTATTTAAATATTTGGAAAACAAACAAAGCTTTTTATGATGGTGGATTTTAATTACTACTCAGTTCCACTTACATTAGCTGAACAAGCTACTCTGTCAAGTTAAAAAGGTCATTAATCAATGTAATAAAACTTTGGTGGAATATAGTCTGCCTTATATTTATGAATTCAAAGATAATTTTCTAGAAAATTTAAATAGTAATGTTTAACAACTGATTAATGAAGCCGCTAGAATGAGAGTGCTTGTCATTGTCAATCAAAGTAACCATTTTCAAAGTTTATGCATCAAACTTAATACCATGAAAACTAAACAGACAATAATTTAAATTACTTTAATAAGACTCACCAACACAGCTAGCATTACCAAGACCCATTGCCCAGCCAACTATACAGGAGCAGAGATAACTACCATTTGTATTTAAACATACTCCATTACTCCATGAACATGGTGGTGAAGAGCTTTGACACTCGTTAATATCTTTTAAAAATAAAATGTAAATAACAGCAACAACAACAAAATAGTAAATACATTTAGATGTAAACATTATATATTGATTAGGAAAAATTATTAAATATGAGGAAGAAACTAAATTTAGTTTTAACAACAAAAACAACAAAAATAGGAGAATACATTTAGAAAATAGAAAAAGGAATAGAAAAAATAAACAAAAAATTAACATAAACTATAAAATGAATTACCAGCACAGCTAGCATTATCTTGACCCATTTTCCATCCATTCATACAGGAGCAGAGATAATTACCATTTGTATTTGTGCATACTCCATTCCTCCATGAACATGGAGGTGCAGAGCTTTGACACTCATTAATATCTTTAAAAAAAAAATTAAATATCAAATTGTTAAAAATTCATCATAACTTTTCAAAATTCTCAAACCACCTCTAGAAAAACAAAAATAAAGTAACAAAAATTCCAAATTTGATTGTTAATTAATGCTGTAGGCTTTGTGAAGATGGCTTAACTATTAAAATCAAAAGAAACAGTCTAGATAACCAATAGTAGTAGGAGAAGGAGAGTTCTGCCTCATTTTTATTTTTGACCATATGTTTAACCATAACTTAAATTTTTATTTTAGGTTCATTTTCAACTGTAATCAATCCCATTGTCAAGGAGAGTTCTGCGTCATTTTTATTTTCAGCTATCTATTCAACCATAAATTTAATTAAATTTATGGTGCAATGTCACTCATAGTGTGTACAAATTGAATAATTAAGAAAATAATTTTTAAATCATTTTTTTAGATTTAAAAATCAGTTTTCAAATTAGTGTCAATTTTGTTTCTTATTGAAAATGTGTGACTTCATCGGTCACATGACTTGTCAGTGCACATGCTCCAATTTTTAAGCATAATAGTAGCATTGTCCTATTATAGCAGAAAAGCTTCCAGATTGTCCAACTTGTGCGGCACCAGAGTTGAGTGTCACTACCATTCTTCTTCCACTACCAACGCTAGGCATACTTCAAATGAATTAAAGTTTCTATAAAATGAAATTGTAGTTGTACTATTAGATTGATAAAGTAATCCTGCTGCTTCATTATTAAATGAGCTTACATTTGAGCTATTCCATGAAGAGAGATAAAAATCTTCTAAACCTGATGAAGCGTAGATGCATCAACTGTTAACATCATATCCAGAAAATGTAGTATATCCATTATTATTATGGGGTGTCCAAGGTTGAATAACTGAATTAGTATTTGTAGGGGGTCCATATTCATCATATATATGTACTCTAGATTCCCACCAGTTTCCAGATCCTCCAATGTGATGCTAATATGCATTGACAATGACATGCTAACATGCATTCTAATATATTTTAAATAATTACCGTTTCCATTATCTATAGCGCTCATCAAAATATATTCATTTCCATAAGTTGTATTTAGATATCTAAATGTTGATGAGTACAACTTAATAGATGAGATGGATCGAGGTATTGCACTAGTACTAGGCACATTACATCCTTGTAAAAAGTTTGCATAATAGGGTCCACCAAGTGGTGCAAATACTAAATCACAAGCTCAAGCTGTATTATTAATACCTATACCATCTGTTACAATAGAATCATTACCAATGCAAAGTAAATTATCAGTATATATTTAAAAAAATACTGTACCTGGTACAGTATTAGGTGCAATAGTAAATCCTTGTAAATGCAATCCACAGTTTTCTTAGAATTCATGAACTACCACTATAGCTAAAAATAGTGTATGATCCTGGAGTTGCATAGAATTCTTGAGATTTTAATCCAAAACGTCAAACTTGTATTGAGAATGATATCTAAACTAGTAGATTGTGTATTATCTACATAATTCTTTGTAACAGCATCTTGAGGTTGAGTAGGATCTGCTACATTGATGAGTTTATTTGTATTTAAATTAATGTCAGCAATTGCAGGATTATAACCATAAGTTCTTAGATACATACTGCTAGAAGTTTGATTATTATCAACATAATGCTTTGCAGCAGCATCTTGAGGATTAGTAGGATCAGCTACATTGAAGAGTTTATGTGCATTTAAATTAATGTTAGCAGTCGCACTATTTTGTCTTTCTGTTCTGATATATAAATTACTGGGAGTTTGTGCATTATCAACATAATGCTTTGTAGCAGCATCTTGCAAGTCAGTAAGATCTGTTAAATTTATTATTTTATTTGTATTTAAATCAACATCAGAAGTTGCTTTATTGTCAATATTAATGCTGATATTTATGCCATCTGCTGTGCTACCATAAACAGATAGGCCACTCATTGAACTACCACTGGCTATATTAATACTCATTTTATATACCTAATATTTTTATTTCACTATAATGAATTTTCAATACTTTGAAAATCAAACCCTTCAATTAGCTTTTTTAAAACATAGAGGCACAAGTGTTTACAAAATGAAGTCCAAACTGAATTCTTCTACTATTATAATAAACAGGTCTGTGTAAATATTGAACAAGTTCAACTGGAGGTGGTAATGCATAAGAGTCAAAACTTCTCATCTCCATCTTTATACCAGCAAATCCAATGAAATCGATTTGTACTTAAATCTCCCGTATTTAATATTCCACATTCTTTTTTTTGTGTATTTTTAGTTAACTCATCTCTTACAAATACTCCTCTAAAATTTTTTATTTTTAATTTTTTTGCTGCTTTTATTAACTGAATGTTTATTAATGGTTAATTTGGTAATATAATTCCTTCAACATTGATTCTTTTGTCCATTTTTATTAATAGTTTTAGATTTTTTTTATATCTATTTGAGATAAAAAAATTACTTACCTGTTTATTTTTTTTATCTTGTCTGCATGCCTGACTATTTATTTCCAATCAACCTGAAATGAAAAGTTGGGTCTCTCTTTTTCTACATTTAATTTATAATGACCATATGCCAATGTATGAATTCCATCTTCTAAAATAACTCTTTTGTCATCTTCTGCGCTTAATGCTACTTTGTTAATTTCTTCTGTATAAACATCATGTAAATGAGATCTTATGACATTCATTTTTCTCATTTGATCTTTCTTATTCATAAGGCAATCTTTATAATTTTCATGTGTTATACATTTTTTAACTACATTTCTTTTTACTTCTTTACATTTTTTCTTATCTTCTCCATTTATTTTGTATGAATAGAACTTTGATCTGAGTCCTATAAATTCTTCAATTTGTTTTCCATCTGCTTCATCTTTAAACATTTTTAATACTTTCTTATTTAGCCCTACTTTAAATCCATTTTGAACAGCTGGATGATTTTTGTAAAATTCACTAGTGTCAAATTTACTTTCAAGATCATTAGCAATATCTGCATAAAAGTCTTCTGTTTTTATTTCATATGCTAATGAGTCTGTATCTGTGAATAACAGTTTAGCTCTATCACCATATTTATTTTTTATGTAATCATAGTGAAATTCATACATTAGTGTCTTGCTCAAATCTAAAATGCACATACCCAAGTAAATAGACTTATTATAGATTAGTTTTGCCCTTTTCATATGTATCGCTATTAAGTTTTCATCAAGTATTGTTCTACTCTCTTAGTTTAGCTTTGATGCTAATTTTTCTTCTCTTTTAGTGACTAGTCTCACATCAACTCTGTTTTCAATATTCTCTATTGTTTTTCCAAATACTGAGTTATTCATTAGTTTAAAAAAGTCTTTTTCAAAGTCATTAGTAGCTTTTGCTCTCAAATTTGTATTGAGCTCAATGTACTTACTTAGCCATGCACTCTCTTGAAACTTTATACCTCTATGGATTTTAGTTAATTTCATTCCTAGTTTTTCAAAAAGTATAAGGATTTCATAATAAATGACATAATTTTTCTTATGATTTAAATTTGGAACTAATTTTTCAACTTTTTCTATTGTTAATCTTTCAGGAGCAAGTGGATAATCATTATGAAAATCATGTAAATGTTCGGAATAATCTAAATCTACTTCTAATATACACAAAATAGATTTCCAATTTTTCAACTCTTTTCCACTCATCCATTCAAGTCCATGTGTTGGAAGGGGCTTGCTCATAGCCCATCCATATAAAATGTTAGCATCTAAATACTGTATGTAAGTAGATTCTTTACTTTTATTATATGTTTCCATATATTTATTATTAGCAGTTCCTAACCTGTTAAAAATCATACTAATTCCACCTCTTATTCCTTGCTTTAGCATTAAGATCATATCATAATCACTTAATAGTTCAAATTCTATTTTTGTTTTTCTTTTAATGCAGCACCCCATGCTAACCCTGGTGATGTATAATATTAAGCAGGATCTAATTTATAGTTATTCATGCAGACATTTCTAAAACTTTCAAAGACATCAGATAATAACAAAACATCTGAAACATTGTATAAATTATGATAAGGTTTTACAATTAAACTCTTTCCATACAATTTGTACATGTAAATAATCTTCATCACTAATATATTCGTCATTTAATCTTGAATAAAATGATTCTTTTGGTGGTAATTGTGATTCAGACAATTTACTAATAGAGTCAACCCAATCATAGGGATAAACACCTTTTCTTAATAATAAATCTAGTTTACTACCTGAATATAATTTTCCAATATTTTTACATTGCTCTTTTGTTAGATTCTTAGATAAGCTATCTAAACTAGAAGTCATAAATCTATAACTATTTATGAAACGGAGTTGTCTTTTAACTTCAATAAATTTACCATCTTTATTATAATGATCAACTTAAATTTCTCTAGAAAAGCTGATATACTTTTCTTCATTGTTAGGAATACAATTTAATTTTTTTAATTTCTTTATGAACAAGTGAGAATCATAACCAGATAAATTGTGAAATAGTAATGAAATTGAATAGAATTATAGTGAAATAGTACTGGAATAGTATTTGGAATTTTAAATTGAGCAGCTCCTCTATATTTACCAGTAATATGACAATGATCACGTACTTTATCTTCTTTAAGATCTTTTTCACAAATGTGGCATACTTTTGCATTATTAAAATTTTCTTTGTCTTCAGTAGTAAATATTATCATTTTTGGAAATTTTAAATAAGTATTATAAATTTTCTTAATATCAGCTTCTAAGCTATTAACAAAAATTTGTGCAACATCATCATCTTTACTACTTGCAGTATATGTGACTGGACTGCATTGATAAATACTTTTATCAAAGCATTTAATGTAGTAACAGAATGAACTTGGAGTATGTCTTTGATATTGTTTAGTATAGGAGTCATTTGGATTTGAGTGTTGATAGGTTAAATAAAACTTTTAAAGTCAGCATAGACTACAAAGGGTACTCTCATAGATTTTTTAAAATTATTAAACTTCATCATTGTATTTG